GCATAAAGGTAAGCTTTATCGCTTTTATATCATTGTACTATCGTGTATTTTGATTTTTTTATATTTTTTATTGCATGATATTTGTAATATCACGAATTTGTCCCTGTTTCGTTCCGGTGTTTCGTTCCGGTGTTTCGTTTCGGTGTTTCGCTGTTTAGCAGTGCCCTTTACTCATAGCTACTGAACTACGTGTACGTACTGAACTTCAGACATCAGACGTTATTATATATTATATTTTAGCATATACCAACTTGTGTACTTCCTAAGAACGCGAGCGCTCATTGGTTAATTGGAGGTGAATATTGTACGATATTCACCTCTGAATCTCGGAATATTGAATCGGCGTTAACAAAATGGCATCTGCCGGCAATCGTTTTGCTATAATTTCCGATGAGGAAATTGAAAAAATGAAAGTAAATGCCATTCCTATCAATACTAAAAAGGCAACGAAGTATGGCCTAAAAGTTTTGCTAAAAGTTTTGCTAAAAGTTGTGTGTGAATTTGTCACGCAAACTAAAAGTTTCTGTTTGTTTGCTTTTATYGAATTATTATATATAAAAATAAGTTATTCTGTACACAAGTTGGTATATGCTAAAACAATTATTCACCTCAGGCTCAGTGAATATGGAGAATATTTACCTTGTCGCTCGAAGACTCAAGGCATTGCTAAACACACTTACCATTCAGACACATAACTCTCTTGGATATCTTGCAAAAAGTTCAACATTGTCGGAACAATGCCATTAACATAATGCTCTTGGTGTTCATTCGCCGACAACAGCGACAAAACATAATCATTGTGATTTTGATGAAGTTTAAGAGTCGATTTAACAAATTTATCTTTCGATTTATCCCATTCTTTAGGAGTTGCTTTTTCCTTTGTTATAACTTCTTCATACTTTGATTTTCCGCTCTCAGAATCCTTGGCATTTTCTCGGTAGGTGCGGCGTAGACGATCAATTTCATCAGATTCTTGTTTATATTCACTATCAACTCTGAATCTTTYAGTTTTGTAGCGTTTAAGTAAGTTTTTCTTGTCTTGAATGAGTTGTTCAAGTTTAGCAAATGTATTGGTGCTGATATGGGTTGAGAATTGGTTGATCAATAGTGCTTTTTGGTCACTCTCTTTGATATACGTAGACCATGCCTGGAAAACAATTACCATTAATAAAGATGAATAGACCCCTTTCAAATTCTAAATTACCACTGTGTTCCTTGATTACAGACTGATTTGCACAGGGTTAGCCTCRTATCAGTGTTTAAATATTCACAAATACCAACAGTTAAGTAAAGAATGAACAACTACAACAATACAAACACTTTGAAACTCGACAGACCTTGACTGGACCCTGACGTTATTCACAAACTCAAGGCTAACCCTGTGCAAATGAGTCTGTAATCAAGAAACACAGCAGTAATTTGGAATTCGAAAAGGGTCTATTACTAAATAAGCAATCTCTCAATAAAAGATCTGGTCCTATAGAACCAAGATGACATAGGAGGTTTAGCATAAAATAAATAAAATAAATAAATAAACTTTATTTAACGAGGGTGACATACATTACTGATGACCCAGTAGTTTATATTATGGCCCTCCTACAATTAATAAACTGAAATGAATGATCAAAGAAACATAAAGTGTGTTAAGAATCCCAACTGGCAAGGAGGCAAACCAGTTGGCTATTAACAAGCATGCAGTGGCCACAGCGGAACATGATGCTAATTAATTCAGGCTAAAGTAAGTGCAATTTTCTGGAAGCATGGCAGTTTTCAAAAAAAAAACAAAAAAACTATAGAACATACTTATATGTGTTTTGATGTTTACAGAGCTATGATTGCTAATAAATAGCTTTTGGACATCAAATTCATAAATAAGCTTGCTGACAAAAGCTTTTGTTGTAAAGCCGAAATGTCCAGTGTTTTAAAGATTTAAAGTCAGAGACAAACTTTTATTTATTTTATTTTTGGACACTTGCCTGCCAATACAGCATTTTWAAGTGCATATGGTCATTCGTGAATTGCCCTATTTCACTATGACGTCACATCAAAACAATCTATTGTTTAAATGGAAAGGATCATGGTCATCGGAGGGGGTCAAATCAACGCAWATTCACCGAAAATTGTTCTAAAACCTGTATCAATCCACGAAGAGAAGTAGAATAGCCAGCAAATGCTCAGAATATTTTTAGTACATAATTATTAACACATATTATATCTGAAAACCAGGCAATTTTAGATTAAACTGTTTCGCTAGGAGCAACTTTTGTTGAATTTTCTATTGGATTTGGCAATTCTATCCCCCACATAAACAAGCAGTGATGTTATAGCGAAATAGGACAATTGAAAATTCTGAGTTTACTGTTTACATGTTTATTCAGTTCATACGTGATGCATGAATTAGTCATCTAAACTTGTCGATCAACAGTTATAATCTGTGATTATATATATTTTTCTTTTTCTTTACATCACAAAGATTAATGTTTTGAAAAGAAAGTGAATGGCTTTGGTATGGATATACTATAGCTATAGGATTATTTCTATTTTGAATGTATATTGCTTTCATAATGATTTAGAAATTTGGAAAAAGTTCAAGAAAATTATAAATAATGCAAGTATATATAGGAAATGATGCAAATATTTCGCTGAAAGATATCGATAACAACTATTAAATAACATTAAAATCCGTGCCAACATTCTTAAAAAATAATACTTATAATTCAAGGTTTAATAATATTAACTGTTTAAGATATTTTAAGAATTTCTTATTTATACAAATACATCATATCATTAGAAGAGATTAACAAGAATGATGCATCAAAGAAATAATTTACAGGCTGTGTCTCGTAGACGTTATAAAGAGGATGACTTTTGAGGGCTTTTTTACGAAATTCATGTATCATAAAGGACTCATTATATGATCCATGGTAAATTATACTTCAGTTGGTACAACTTGAATTGCCTGCTTTTGCTACCTGTTTACTGCTATAACAATAAACAAACAATACAGTAGTACATGTAGCAGGACATATTTGCAGGACTTAATTATAATATTTGTTAAGTTTTATATCAATCAATAATATAGATTTTGCTAAATAGTGTAACCATTTTTTTGAAGGCTTAGATATTTTATTCCCTATAGCAATATGAAAAATAAGGAAACATATTATCATAGATAAATAAACGTTTATAGAATGGATTAATTCCTAAAATAATCACCGTTTAAATACTTAATAGCCATAAGTCTTACTCATCCACCAGAGCTGTATTAAAATATAGTCAAATATGATAATAACGAGAGACCAATTTGAAACGAAACTTTTCCTACTATTGTAAAAGAGAATGGTAATAAAGAAATGCTTCTTGCTCAAGCTTCCGGGTCGGCCTATRTGCTTCAACTCAAGCGTTATAAATCAGAGTAATAAATACCCTTTTTCCCAAGGTGTGTGACTACAGTCATTGTGTCTGAAAAATTTTCAACATTTTTACTCCCAAAGTAAATTGAGAATCTTAGTATAATCGTAGGATTTTTTTAGAGTTACCTTTCGGACCAAGCTTTCTGGATCCCCATCAGGCATTCCTTGAGTAGCAGAAGCATTAATCTTGCTTAAAGCAGCAGAATAATCCAGTTCTACTTTGATCCTTTTTGTCATATAGTGCTTCATATTTTCTAGGAGTTTGATTTCATTTTCATTGAGCTTCACTATTGCCTCGTGGCCTGACTTTGACAAGAGTTCTACCGCAAACCTGTGTCTCTGATTCCCACTGCTCATAGTCATATTGTAAGACTAGGTATTGTAGTATAAATATGGAGAGTTTCAGAGTTGTAGACCCATCGTAAAGGCTTTGACAGACAACTCTTTTAATTCCATTTTTGACGCTATATTCTTCTGACAAGTGTTTCCGCCTCAAATCAAAACACAACTTGCATTATGGGTAACAATAAGACAGCACGGCCTTCTGGGAGTTATTCAACGGAACCGGAAGTAAACGCTCTACGCATTCAAATCCTCATAAAAACCGTTAAAAAGTATTTAAAAAATAATCTCAAGTGTATCATGTATATTCTACAAACGTACTTTGAAAGGAAATTGCTTCTGCGAAGAATTTTTCAAGAAAACTGCTCGCAGTTTTCATTTTTATTTTGGACCCGGAAATTGTTTTCTACCCAAATGACGTCATATTTAAATTTCAAGTATCTTATTCTGGAGCGATAAAAAACTGCATATTTCCGATTGAAAATGAAAAATAAATACTTATTTTCTGCGGTTTTTTTTAAATCGAGCACCCGTATCTTTCTTTTCAGAGAGATTTCGCTTCGATTCAGTTTAGACCTTCCAAGAATTCGCAGTTGCAAGAGGACGTTTGCATGATGGCGTCTTCTAACTCCACTACCATAATGGTTCGCGAATTCCCTTTATAATTCAAATTTGTAATTATGGTTCCGTCACATTCATTTTCACTAGAACATAACGATCTTATAGAGCGTTTTCACGTGACGCCACAGCGGCCATTATGGGGTATCAAAACAATATACATTTTCTATCCTCCGGGAATTGAACTCTATTTTTATAAAAATACTGTGCAGAAAGTTTCTATTGTTTATGGCTGCCTTCTCACGTGAGTGAAAACGCTCTATGCTTATGCTCATGCTTACGCTTCCGTCGCTTATGTCGCTAATGAAAACCAGCCTTAATAAGCGATTAAATCACACTTTTCCTTGATGCAATTTATTGGAAAAAGAAAAGCAATAGGAAGGCCATTGTTTATGCAAGAGTCTAATATGTGCAGAGGACTGAGTACGAGACTTTGATTGGCTTACCACCTTGTGCTTAGACTGTATGTTAGCGACAGAAGCATAAGATTCTGGTTCTCACTAGCGACGTAAGGGACGGAAGCAGAAGCACTATAAGAAAAAGGAAACCTTCCATTCCTTCTGTTTATGCTTCCGTCGATGTTCTGCTTCTGCTTACGTCTCCGTTGTTTGATTTTCACAAGAACATAAGACGTCTTAATAGGCTTATGCTTACGCTTCCGTCGCTTATGTCGCTAGTGAAAACCAGCCTTAATAAGTGATTAAATCCCACTTTTCCTTGATGGAATTTATTTGTGGCATTTCTTTTGTGTTTCCATGTTAGCTCGCATTCAAGATAGTTTTAAGAAAAGACCATTTTACAATTTCTTTTACGGGTATAATTAATGAAAACCACCCTATTACTTTAATTTATTGCACATTGGATTATTTAATTCGATGACATATTGTCATTATTATCAAGCAATTCCAGAAAATGTCGAATATGAACTTATATAGTGAAGTTTTAGTATGACTGTGAAAAGTTCACGGCACGAACACGGCGTGACACAGCAAGGGATACGCCAGATCAATCACATTGCACGAGAATTTACTCTCCATCCAATCAAATACCCGGAACACGGCATAAACACGGCGCGGACACGGTCACGACAAGATCACGGCACTTTTAGGCCAATCATATTGCGCGTTAAAAAAAACAGCCAATTAAAATTTTAGAAAGTGTCACGGTCACGGCACGTCACGCTAACGGCACTGAGCTTTTCACAGTCATACGAAAACGGCTCTAGTCTATATTTCGTGATTTAACATTACGTAACAAAATGTCGTCACTAGTTTTTCTTATAAATTTTCTTATGCAATTTTACGTTACCTCATCGCGGCCATTTTGGTGCCATTTAACAAAAGATTTCTCATTAGCATCCATTGTTAACGGCACCGTAATGGCAGCCATGTTTTTGTTTTTTGACTCTCTTGAGAATGCTAGTAAGCAACCCTGCACAAATTTATAAAGTTAGCCGTATTAGAACAATTGATGATATAAGTAATATGGAATATTCGCGCAAGTAATTAACGATAGACCACTTGCACTGAGTCCCTAGAGGAATTGTTCTGGGGGACAAAACAAATGATTGTTTTTGCATAAGAAAAAACGGCCTATTGTCTTTTCCCCTAGAACAATTCCTCTAGGAATTCAATGCAAAGGATCTATACACATGCAATAGCGCAGCGCAGCGCATCCGTGACGTGATAAAAACGAAGACAAAGGCGAAATTCGGACAAACAAACTTACAAGTTTACTTTCAGCAGATAATTTTTCACAGCCGATCGCAGTTGATCTTAGTTTACATGGGTCATTATTGTAACTTTAAGTAAAAATAATAAAATCGGTTCGTATAATCCTCGTAGCGGTTAAACAGAATGCAATGTTTGTCCGAATCTTTAAGCTATTTTTAGGATCAGTGCGCTGCGCTATTATCAAATCTTATGCCACCGCGGCAAGTTATAAGTGAAGGTGTAAGAGTCAAGTTTCTTCAGTGCTCTCAATCTCGTACCTAGAGCCAGCGTTTCTTCTTGCCTGCGGCGAAGAACGAAGGCTCTGGCATAATCCATTTTTTGAGACCAGGATTTCTTGGACTTCCGGTATAAAAGCGCAAGCGTTCAAAGACTTGCCTAAAGCTAAAAAAGCTAGTAATTCTAATTTTTATTTTGAACGGAAGTAAACACACAACTTTGTTTGAAATCATGATTTTCTTTGATAATATTTAACTTCCGGGAAATTGCACATGCGCCAAAAATGGATTATGCCAGGGCCCTATGGGTACGAGATTGCGGTGCTCTCAATCTGCGCAATGATAAAGTCTATATCAAGTGGTTTTTCGCTTCCTTGTGTGAAGATTGCAAAGTACATTAGAATATGTTTAACGTTCTTGTTGTCAAAGTCCCGAAGAGAGTTTTTACACGACTACAAGTTTACACCTATTTCAATAAGCATTGCCATCTCCAAAAGCGATAGGCGATAGTCATTCCGACATGGAAATGGTTTCGTTGACTGGAAGCAACATTGAATCAGTCTCAACGCTAAGGTCCATGTTCTTGACGAGAATAAGAAGCAGAAACACAAGTCATTCCAGCTATTCTTGGATGTGAGATAGACCTATCTCCTATTGACTATCGCCTATCGCCTATTGACTATCGCCTTTAACGATGACAACGGTTTTTTGAAATAACTTTATACCTCCAGCAATCACCCAACCTCTATTTTTGCGACCACATGACAATTCATTGAGGAAAGCTGCTCTATAGACTTTCAACCGTATTTTTAACCACATATTTATAAAATAACACAGCATTTTTGTCCTGGACTTGCCGAATTATCAAGTAAAGGGCTCTCTGCTTCATGCTCCTCGACAGGTTCGGATCCCTTTTCTGGTGTTGTTACCTCTTTAACGGGGCTGACTGTGGGTGCTCTAGACGCTGTTGGCGGGTGTTTCGCAAGGTGTAGACTCGAATCATCGATATCGCTTTCTTCTTCGCCAGCTAGTGGTGGAATTCCTTCATGTTCACCTCGAACTGATTCGACTGATGCTTGAGACTGCGGTCGAACACCGCTAAAGACGACATTCTTTGGCTTTGGCGACGGTGGCGGCTTTTCCTCGTTTTTGGGCGCCGCTGGAATAATCACTGGCGTTCCATCCATTTTGAACAATATTGTCGCCATTGGAGCTGTTTCTGAACTCGGTTCCGCTTCTGGTTCAGGCTCTGGTTCTTCTTTAGGGGCTTCTTCTACCGGTTTCTCCTCTACTTTCTTTTGAGACGGTTCAGGAGGAATGACGATTGGGGTTCCATCCATTCGGAAAAGAATCGTTGACATTTGATTTGACGGTTCTTCTGAAGGAGCCTTGGGCTGTGGTTCATCTTTTATTCTTTCTGGGACTTCTTGTGGCTCCTCTGGCATCAGCTCCTTCTCCCTGTCAGGGCGCTCAACTTCTTCTTTCTATAAAAATTGAAGGGAAAATAAAAGAGAGGAATAAAGGAGAAATAAAAATGGAATTGCGAGAGATAAAGATTTCTTAAAGAGAGAAATAGCAATGAATAAAAAACAATACATAAGATCTAAAGCAAGATAAACGCAAATAAAGAGAGAGCAATTGAGTAACAACAACAACAACAACAA